AAATGGACTTATGAGAAATAGCAAAGGTCTAACCAATTGAGACTATGATTACGACATCCCTTTTCACAGTTCTTAAATTGTTTAGACACACCAATGAGCTATTTACATTAAGGTGTATGATTTTAATAAAGTCTTATCAAAGCAATCTAGTTTCAGAAATTTGAACTTTGGTAAGAAAGTCAATAAAGTATTGATTTCTAGAAGTACACTAATTTCTGAATACATGTCAAAGCTAGTGGGAACATAAGTGTTATGTTGATAATCATCATTTTAGTGGGAGCATGATAAATATGATAAGTATTTCAAGTTAGTAATGTTAATTATAGAAAACAAAATTTCAACTCGTAAGGTTGCAAGGGTTGAAAAAGTTGTTTTGCTATAATTAAGGGAGAAGAAATTATACTTCATTTCAATTCTAAAAGGCTTAGATTGAGATTTTAATCATTTTAGTCAAGAATATATATATGAATTTCATGTTGGATTGGTTCAACTTAAGAAATTCTATATATGGCATTCTCAAAATTCGGTTATGATTACGGCATCCCTCTTCGTACTCAAATTTTGAAAACATGGCAAACAAAAATTATTGTAGCAAAAGTATGGTCTAGAATCATGTCTTTATGTAAGACATCATGAATCGTGTCCCATTTGCTTTGGGTACAAGATCGATTGCATGTGTTATAATATTTACCCTTTCTAAATTTTCCAAATGCCTTGGGGCATTAAGCGGAAAAAGGTCTAGAATTGGATATGACTAAACTGATTAAGCAATTGTCGAGGACAATCTAAGGTTTTACCAAAGATTGGTTGCTCAAGGACAGTTGGAACTATATTGTTAATATTGGAAGGACCATATTGACATATTCTTGAAAAGAGATAACTCTTGTTCAGAAATAGTAGTCAAAATAGGAATATGGAGTTGTCTCCATATGTGGAAGTTACATGTGTAAGATTAGAAAATTTAATGCAAGAAGGATATTCAAAGCAATGTGCTTTGAGACTTCGTCTCCATGGAATTGATCTCCATTGGAATAACCTGTAATGACTGTTGACAAGTTTTTGTGACTTTGTACATATTCATTACAAGAGGGTCTGTGCATATAAGTTTAAAATCTAAACAAATTTTGGTAAATGTTAGGAATTAGGAATTCTTACATTTTTCGATAAAGATTTGGGAGTGTGAAAGAGAATCGTTGAAAGTACGTTCAATCGATTTATTTCACAAAGTAAGGATCATAGACAAACATAGAGTGCATACTTGATGTATTGCAAAGCTATTGTTTAGAAAACATAGTGTACATGCTTGGAGCATGGGACAACTAGTGTTTTTAAATTCAAGTATAAAGTTGATAAAACCGAAACAATGAATAATGAGTAATCAGTATGGTGATAAATAAAAAGTGTTTTATTTATATTCATAGTTTTGATACCATATTAGATTCATTTATTCTTGTATTTCATTTTGCATGTTTTGATTTCCAGAATAAACTAGGTTATTCTTCCTGAATGACTAAGTTATTCAAACCATCCACAATCAGTCATATGTTGGAAGTAGATATGAATCAAGACTGTCATGGGTTGGCTTGTAGAGGTCCAAGTTGGTGGACAAAGTGGTGCTACAACACTCATGAGTGCTCATAAGTTCTGAGTATTGGATTCAACCCGTGCTTATTTGAATTATTTCATGGATTTTATCACGAGTGATCATGAGATGATAATATCTTATATTCATCAAACATAGAAATATGAGTTGTTACTACGAGTTGATAGTACATTGATTGCACAAAAACGCATTGGTAACTCGATGTTAATAAACGTGCCTTTCTGTACGCCTCAAAAAGTAGTAGAACAAGCCATATAAGTCGAAGTTTATCTATTCCTTTTACCTTTGGGATAAAAGAGATATATGTGGGCCACTCGATGATTTAGTGATGACACATGTGACTACTTGGTCAAGCCAGGACTGATGTGATTTCTTCAATCAGTCAGTCGTCATAAATCGGACATCGGGAAACAGCAAATGGACAGGGAGAATGATTATTAAGCCATGTATCAGTCCATATGATATCTAGAATGGAGGAATATATGATCCCTTATCTAATGGACAAGTCATTGACAAGGTCAGAGTTCAGTTACAAGGTCAGTGTTCGACAACGGCTTTTGAGAGCTACGATTGCTAGTTGGGTTTCGAAGTCATACACAATAATATTTTTAGACTTATCCAAGTGGGAGACTATTGGATTAATGTCTAAGTCCATAACTATATTTGGTATGTACTTGACCCGACCTGGCATGGTACATTTGGGTTGCATGGCATCGTGCACTTGGATAGACTAAATGAGAGAAATAAGACACTTATGGTTACTAATATATTATAAGTTATAATATATTAATAATAAGAATAATAATATTTAATTAGTATTGATCATGAATTAATTTAGAATTAATTATGTGATCAAAAGAAGACTAATTAAATATATTGGTTGATTGTGTAAATCATCGATAACTTGTATAGTGGGCCAAAGCTCCATGGATAATCAAGTTGGGTTAAACCCATAGGATGCTCCATGGAGGTTACATAACCCATGGGTCATGGAAATGAAAGGTCATGACAATTAGGGTTTACATGGTGTAACCCTAATTGTAACACACTATATATGCATCATATTATTCACCAAAATCCGCCACTAGTGTGTGTAAAAGAAGAGCTAGCCAATTTCATGAGGTGTGGATTTCTCTCTATGTTATTCTAAGATCATTTGATGTTGTGTGAGCCATTTTATTTGTCACATTTGAGGAACTAGTCATTCAAGCCCCATGGAGTCAAGCTACACTTCAAGAGGTATGTATTTTATCTATATTATTACCCAGGTATCTATGATTGTATGCTAGATAGGGTAATACCTTGGAATATTAATATTTGCATGTATATTAGAGAAAACATAGATCCAAGGTCTTTGGGGTTTCATATACACCATATGAGTGTTACAATGCTCAAAACCCAACACTTTTCAATGGCATGTTTAAATCTCGATTGTTCACTCTTAAATTTGTGATTGGGATGTCGAGGATCAAAACCATGCAAATTAAATTGGTACCCTTAAATTTATCACCTAATTGATGTGCCGGTTGATCACACATGCTCCACCAATCTATGATAAACATTAAGTTACCATTTGACACTCTTACTAGTCCATGTTAGTGTGTCGGTTAACCACACACGCTCCACTAACGACTTGGTAAGATACAAAGTGTAATTTCATGGGTTAGCACCAAATCCACATTTTCCTAAAGTAAGTAAGATTGGGAATTTATAGAAGATTTAGTTACTTTATCATTATACTTCATGAAAATTATAGTTCTATACTACCTATTCAACTACATACCTTCCGGCAGTCAAGGAAGTGGGGGGTGAGAGCGGACACCCATTAAGCTGCCATTTTATAGGTAACAACCTTATACCCCCCCCCCCCTTATAGACCAACTTCATGAATGAGGCCTACTAACGGTAAGACTGACTTCGTATTATACATACCTACACACACATATACATATATATATATATATATATATATATATATGTATATGTATAATTATTAACTTATAATACTATAAAGTATAAGGGTTGAATTTTAACTTTTAAAACTCTAGGGTTTGGAATTAAAGATTAATGTGTATGTGACTTTACAAATTCCAAAACTTGAGGGCAAGTTTTGAAACTATTCAAAACTTTTTGTTTCTATAACTTATGAGTTTTAATGGTTTTAAAGAAAAGACTTTTGGAATTCCATAACTTGAGGACAATTTATGAAGTCCATTAATTGACATTTATATCAACTACACTAACAAAAAATTTTCAAATAATTCCTATGATCTACCAAAACTCATAAGCATGAACATTCATATCAACAATTTTCAAGAATCACATAAACATATATAAAGCTTGAAAATTATCATTTAATTTGGATAAGCACAATCATTACCATATCAAAAACAGGTTTAACAATCTAAAAACAGTTTAGGGTAATGATCCTAGTCCAATTCCAACAATAAAACTTGAAATTCTGCACTCAGGGCCTCCGACTCGTCTAGTGCATGAACCAACTCGATGAGTTGGATGAGATTTCACATGGACTCGTCGAGTCCCCCATGGACTCAGCATGTTCACTGAACAGTGAGCGTAAATTCGACATTTTTCAGCAATTTGCATCAAGTATTAATGAAAACAAACCTGGCTTTGATACCATTGATGGGTGTTGAGCATTCTAACACTCCTATGGTGTACATGAAACCCTACAAAACCTTGGATCCATGTTCTCTCTATTTACATGTAAGTTTGTTTTTTCCACGGTTCTCATCCTAACTAGCATATCATGGGGCACTTGTAACATAAAATCTAGTAAAATGACATACCTTTTTTATGGTTGATTGGTTGGAGTTTCGAGAGCCTAGAACCAACAATGTGAGTGCCTCAAGTGGAATCACAAATCACCACACAACTTGGAAAAAGTTTAGAGAATAGTAATGTAGACTAGAAATCAGCCCATCTTCTCTATCACACACACACACACTAATGCCATTTTATGTGCCAAAGATGTCTTTATATAGTATGATAGATTAGGGTTACTTCAATGTAAAACCTAATACCCATGGGTTAAAAGATCCCTGAACTATCCATGCAAACTTAGCTCATCCTAAATGAACATTGGCCCATTCTATATATATAAGAGTCCTTATTTAATTAGTATCTGTTGATCACTAAATTAATTTCAAATTAAATCTTGATCAATACTAATTAAATAATATGATTTCATATTAATATATTATAACTTATAATATATTAATAAATCATACATATACTATTCTCAAAAGACTATCGATACAAATTGTTTCAGTGAAGTGCACCCCAAATGGACCATGCCGGGTCGGGTCAAGTACATACCAAATATAGTTATGGACTTAGAAACCATATCCAATAGTTCTCTCCTTCGAAGACGAAGATGAAGAAAGGTTCAAAGAAGAATGTCGAGAGTTCTTCGAAATCATCACCTCCTAAAGTTGTTAAGAAATCTAAGAAGCACGAACAAAGTGAGCCACCTCCAATTGTTGCTAAGAAACTAGAAGCAACTCAAGTCAAGGCTATAGTTTTACCATCCAATTCTGGTGTTTTCAAGAAATTGAAGAAGAAGACTCATCAATCATCTCCTACTTACACAGTTAAATCTCAAGTTACTCAAAAATGGGTTATTTTTAGAGAAGTTCAAGAACCAGTTTCTCCTGCATCAAAGAAACAAATAGTAGAGGATATGCCCAAACATGTTTTGAAAAAGAAAAAGAAGAAACTTTGAAAGTTGGTTATTAATGATGAATATATAGAAGATGAAGTGATTCCAGATTCACCTGTGCCAAACTCTCCGGTGAGATCGAATGTTAAAGTTTCTTCACCAGAGCAGATTGTTCTTACTTCACCTCCGGTGTCAACTATCAAAACTTCCCACGATCAAGGTACTTCTAATCTTTTTTTTTTCTTCTACCTTAGATACTTCCACTATTGATACTTCTACTTCATTGCATCCATTTTTTTTCTACTCCAATTGTTACCCACTCACCCACATTCAAGCATATTCTCAATCCACCCATTACATCATTATTTTCCTCCCAATCCACCGATCCACTTATTACTCATGAAGAAGAACAAGTTCCGAATGATGATGAAGAGAATGAGTTTGATCGAAAATATGTTAATATTCCATTTGATCTGGAGGAGGAAAATATTCCAGATAATATGCTTCTTATACGGAAACAATTCAAAATCCTCAATCGAAAGCTTAATTAACTTTTACAAATCCAACTTGATAGAGGAGGTAAATATTCAGTATCTAATTTGGAGGTTGATATGTTGTTAAAACGTCAAGAAAATCGTCTTCATGATGCCATTAAAGATGTTGATTGAAACAATGAGAAATGGTGAAGCCACAGTTATCGACTTTTGCTTATGACCTAAAGGAGTTGAAGGTTGTGGCGAAGGAGAGACATATCGTGTTTATTCAAGATGTCAATAAAGTTCGTGAAGATGTCAATTTAAAAATTCAAGAAATCAAGTAGGATATGAGCAAAGAGATTGCAATTGAACAACAAGATTATGCTTATCTTAATCAGAAAGTTGAACTCATAGCTGGTGCTTTTACAAAGTTTGTTAAATTGTATGAAGCACTTGGTCCGAAGGTCGAGCATATGTCTGTGGGTGAAGTTAACAGTTTTTCGAATTTCATTAAATCGTTAGTTGAATCGAAAGGTTTGGTGCTCAAATCGAGTTTGGGGTCTTCTTCGTTGATCACTCCAGAGCTCCTTACACATATGTTTTATTTCCTCGAATCCAATTTTAAAAAGGTGTTAGCTCCTTTGTCAAAATTTCTTACTATTTTGCCAACGGATGTCTCACTTGTTTCAATAAGGGTGCAAGGGGGAGAGAGGATTAGTGTTGGCAAGGGTTCGTTGTTTGGAGCTGGTGGTAGTTCATCGAAGACAAATGATAATGATGCGAAAGTAGTGGGAAAAGTTTTGTCAACTCAATTTACCATTTCTTTAATATCTCCTTCAACAATTTCAACATCCACAATAACAAATACAAGGCCTATAACAAAAGGTATTGTTATTGGTGGTTCAGTTTCTTCAGGATCAAGTTCGAAACCACCTCCTACCACTGAAGAGTTACAGAATAAACGGAAGGGTGTTTTAGAAGAACCTATAGTTGAAGAAAGGAAGGTTGCTGCTCAACTTGAAATGGAGAAACAAAGGCAAATACAAAGCATACTTCGACTAAGAGAAAGTGATCCTCCTGGGATGAACAAAGGAGATCCTGCTAAGTATTTTAGATATGAATACATTGAAGCCATGGTTCTGTTTGCTGAGATGCATTCTTTTAGCAAGATTCCTAAAAAGAGTTATGAGATTGAGAGCACGAATATTAATCAGTTAGATTTTCCCATAAATCCGATGATGTTTTATGATGAGCAATTTGAGCTTGCTAATGAGTTCAAGGACAAGGAGGAGTTCAAACTTTTGAAGTATAGATTCCATGTTGTGTTGGGGAGGAAAGAAGAGTCAATTTTGTCTTTGGTGAAAATCGTTCGAGTTGTGAATGTTATCAAGGATGTATTGTTCGAAGCTATGCTCCAAAATTACAGATATGTTGCAGTAAGAGCAAAGAATATGGTGTTTGACTTCTCAGTTATTGATTTCCCATTAATGAACCTATATGATCTTTTAATTTTTGCGAAGCTCTTGAAGTCGATTGATTATTCGAAGATGAAACAAATTAACAAGGAAGATTTCATTATAGGTTTCGAACACTTAGGGTTTTCATTGATGATTATTATAGAGCCCTAACTATAACTGATATTGATTTGCCTGCAACATTGGGAAAGAAAGTGTATGTTCCCAAATCGATGATCAAAAATCACTCTTTTCTTAAAGATTACGAAGATGGGGAGATATGTTTGCAGCCTTTGGGGATTGCGTTTGTGGGAAAGAATAAGAAGGGTACATTGACAAAGTTTTTGTTTCAAGTAAACAAAATTGAAAAATTCACTTCTTCGCATTACACAAAATTGTTGATTTGAATGAACAATTGTGCGAAGAATAGTGATAAGGAGAAAGTTGAAATTCAGAAAATAATCAACTGGTACTCTGAGATATGAAGAATGTTACACCAAGCTGCTCAACTGTTCACAACCTAATTTGGATACTGATTACAAAGAGGGAGATTATAGATGTCGAAGTGTGTTCTAATGTGTCGAAAGCATTTGAGTAGTTCCAAATGTTAGTGATCTATTTACAAAGGCACTTAAGTTTCAAATCTGTATTGTAATAGTCCTTTGTATTTTTTGTATTTTTTGTATTTTTTCTATTTCTCCTATAAATGGGGGTTGATACTTAGAGATAGATAGAACTTTTCACCTTGTATTCTGACTAAACACTCTTTGTATTCGGAAAGCATAATTGAGCTGAAAGAAGATTATATTTACTCTCGGTGTTCATAATTCTTTATAACTCTGATTTCATTTCATTACTCGATTGAATGGCTTCTACATCCCTCATTTTCTTGCAAATAATCAAGTGTTGTGTACAAGACATCCTCGAAAAACCCTACTTCCTGCAATGCCAACGTATCGGATGAAGTTGATGAAGAAGAAAACATTTTGAAATAATTTTTTTGAAAAAAATCTAGAGATAGTTTTGTGTATCCTGGTTATTTTAAATTCAGAAGTAAAGTTTAATTTATAGAAAAAAAAAGTCAATGACTAGTTTTCGAGCGAGCAAAAGGAAAACCATGCGGCAAAACTATGACTCGCATAATGTATACCACACTTTTCTTGATTGGTTCGGTGTGATGTTTACCACATACCACATTTTACCATGGATGCGGTAAGAGGTGCATCGTCCTTGCTTATATATTAAATTTTATGTATGCAAAAGTAGTAGGTGGAATGAACAATAACTTTCAGATTTATTGCATGATAATGAAGATTTATTGCATGATAATGAAGTTTTAGATTTGTAGTTTGATAGTGTAGTTGAGGTGACACCCTTTATATTTTATAGTAAATATTTAGTTTTTATTAAAATCTAATTTTTGAATGCCCAACGTTAAAAATATGAGTAGTTTTTTTAAGAGAACTTAAATTTCAATAGTTTAAAAAGTCAATATATCAGATTTTTTTTTTCTTTTGATGGCAAATCTATTCTATTCTACCGGTACAATTCCTCTAAATCTCCACCTATATCCCTCATGAGACTTGAACATTCGCCCTCAAAGAGGGATGACAACACCAGATACTGCTAAACTACAAGCCGTTTGGTGTCAATATGTCAGATATATAAAAAATTTAAACCATATCGGCGATTAGCCACACCTCTTAAGAAATGTAATAAATGAGATTATTTTATTTGCCAACTTGCTTTAAATAATATGTCAAATATAAGGTATTTTCAAGCTTATCTAATCAATGTGAGGAGCATGTCGTAACTGTATAAAACAAATTTTAAGAATATTAATGTGAGGTGCAAGTCGTAATTGTATAAAACAAACTAGACCAATTCTCAGGTCTTACACGTCATAGCTTTGGAATATATTTTTAAAATATTGAAAAGTATATATGTTTAAAATGCTTATCTTATTGAAGTTAGCTTGGATAATATTTTTAACAATATTATTCATTTTCATCAACCACCTTCCTCGTAATAAAATTAAATAAAATTATCTATTTAATATTATTTTTAACAATTGTTATGATTGATTAATTTAAATTTTTACTTATGCGATTATTTTCTAATTTTAATAATGATGTTCATTTAAAATGCAATTTATTTGTTGCCAACGTTATGTAATTTAGAAATTAATTTTATTATTATTTAAAATTATTGTTCTTTACTTTTAAACCACTTATTATTAATAATAATTTAAAGAAAACTTTTAAAAACACTTAATATTACTATTAAAATGTGAAACATACACTAAATAATAAAATGATAAGATAGATAAATTGCATTTCAAAAGACATTTGCATGGATAATATAACATATCCATAATTTTAATAATTTGATTTTAGTATTTATAACTATTGCTCATTAATTTTAAAATCACTTATTATTATTAATAAATGAAAGAAAACGTTTAAAAGACACTTATTATTATAATTAAATTATTAAACATTTACTAAAATATACGTGATAATATCGCATATCCATGATTTTTAATTAAGTATTGCTTTGAAACAACACAAACATAAAAACATATATACAATATTTAATTAAATATTATCTATATCATTTACCATAATACATGATTGATAACATAAATCTAATCTAATTTATATTAAAGTTTCAACCACAACATACAATGATTATCTTAAAAGAATACTTAAACCAAGAAAAATATAAAATAAGAACTAGTATATAACAATCTTACGAATTAAAAAAGTTTAGCTTAATAACATGGATCGAAAGGTAGTCCAAATGTAGCTTGAAAAGTAGTCCAAATGTAACATCCAGACTCCCAGATATATTATTTATTTATTTATTTTTGAGATCTACTGTGCAACTCAATGAGTTGGTGCCTCAACTCGTCGATTAGAGACTGATTGAGCATGTGGGTCTAATAACCGACTCGACGAGTCATAGAGCCAACTCGTCGAGTTGGCATTGTGAGATTAAACCCTAAATCCTCGTGGTTTGGGCCTATTTAAGAGCACTTATGACCTCCTTTACGCCTCACCAACTACCCAACTTCCATGTATGAAACACCAAACGTGTGTAGTGAGATAAGAGAGTTCTAAGGCTAATCTTT